TATTATTATTATTATTATTATATTATTATTATTATTATTATTATTATTATTATTATTATTATTATTATTATTATTATTATTATTATTATTATTATTATTATTATTATTATTATTATTATTATTATTATTATTATTATTATTATTATTATTATTATTATTAATTATTATTATTATTATTATTAATTATTATTATTGCTATTTTGGATCAAAAATGATAGCTTATACAACCTTTTAAATCATCCAGCTTTACCTATAGCTTCTTCTTCGTTTTCTTTTTTCCTGCTAAAGTTTTGAAGTTTTACTCATATTTTCTTAAGTCACGGTTTTTTTTTACTTTTTTAATATTGCACAAATTAATTGATTATAAAAACAAAATTAGCTGATATACATGTATTGTCATGTGAAATTTAATTTAATCAAATTTAATTTTCCCTCAATATCAATTGATTAAACGACGATGAATTGGATTATTTAATTATAACATAATTATTTCGAAAAATTTTCGTTAATTTTTCCATTGTCTATAACTGAGAAAAAAAAAAACACTTATCATTTTGTTTACATGAAAACTTAATGCTACTGCTAATCTTCATTCATTTTCGGCTAATCTCGTCATCATAAACATCTTGCTAATTTCGTCATGATGAACGTCATCAGTAAAGATAAAAATAGATGATAGTAATGTTTGCATATGTAATCATCATTAATATTTAAAAATAGACTTATTTACGTCAAATTAATCCTTTTTCATATCTTGAACCATTTACAAACCTCTTTATGTCAAATATTTTCAAAGTTTACGCTCTTTTCTTTTCTAAAGAATCTTAATTCATAATTTTTAATAAACAAATATGATTTGTTAATTTATATTCTACATATATTTACCATCAATTAATAGTTATTATAGAGGTTTTAAGTTAATAGAGTGTTTTAATTAAGATGAAATAATTAAGCAATTCATCAGTCTGATAAAAATGAATGATAAAAGATCATAAAAATAGCTGAGATAATGAACTCATGGATCTTGTTGATTCGAGAAGCAATCGAATGCATGCAGTATTGAAGTAATCGAGTAAATTGTTTAGGAAATTCTACAAGATCTTTAACTTTGGCAAATGCATGTAAAAATTACCATTTTTTTTTAAAAATATAATTTTCATACTGAATGGTTTGCTCTTGAAATTTTTACTTTCAATTTTTTATTCCATCATTCTTTGATGGATAAATATTTTACTTTTAATTTTAAAAATTTTAATTTTTTTTTCTAATTTTTTTTTGTTTTTGGTTTGATTTCTGGTTCACATTTCAGTATAAATGATTGGAAGATGTAAATGATAAAATGTTAGATTAAGAGTACTTGTAATGAGTTACATTCTTTGGTGATAGATCCAAAGATCATAAATGATTGAAGGATAATCTAACAAACTAATTAAATGACCTTATAATGTCCTTATTATGGACTAACTTGTTTACAGTTAGTTAGTCTTAGCATGTTTTCAATTAGGCTTATTTGTTAGGCTTATTTGCCCTTCCATTCTAGATATGAGGCACTGTTAGGTTTGGCCAAAAATCATAATTGATAACTCATATGATCATTTCCATTCTTTTGCTCAACCTTTTTTTTAATTAAAAATCTAAATTACAATTTTTTTTTACATATCATTTGGTTTACTGTTGTTGTTTGGAATTCTTTTTCAGGTTAAATTTAAATTTTTAAAGACTTGAAAGTTTGAAATTGCAGATTATTGCGCAAGGAAGGAAGTAATTGGGAATGTTTCTTGTCTATTATTTCATATTTTGTTTTCTTCAATAGAATTTCAACTTAGTTTTTAATTCCTAGTTCTTTTTTTCAAATACAAGACAAAGTGTGCAACAGAGAGGGACAAAAAAAAGAGAAGAGATGTATAAAAGGAAAAGAAAGAGCAAGCATTTTTTTTTTGCATGAAATCATAACAATGAAACCTTTTATGTACGCATTTGCGTTTATTGATTATTCAAATATATTGACAATTGTCGAACTTTGATATTGTTTTTGTCTCATTTACCTTTCTCTCTCTCCCTATTGACTTTCCCTCCTCCTCCTCTTCTTTCCCATTCTCTGTTTCTCGTTCTTTATGAATAAAATTTTCCGAAATAACAGAAAAAAAGAAAAAAGGAATGAAAGAAAGTAAAAAAGGAAAAAGATGATAAATAGTAGGATGGTATGAGAAAAAACAAAAATAGCAAAAGATAGAAATGAATGTGATAGATGAAAAGATAATATGTGATAAATTGGGAATAGTCAATCAAAGAAAAGGAAGAGCTTGAGGGGAGAGGATATCACTAAGGATACAATTGATTGAAATCACGACTATTACAAAGTTTTCAAATGATTGAGCAAAAAAAAAAGTTGTTTTTTCCTTTTTCTTTTTTTCTTCTTCTACAGAAGTAGAGACGGAGAGAGAGCGAGAGAGGGAAAAAAAAGATGGATAAGAGAAGTGTCAAAGGAAAAAAAAGAAAATTTTTTATTTTGATTTTTTTTGTTAAAGAGATTTATGATAATATGGTGTTAAACAAGATCTAAAATAATAAATGAGGAGGAGAGAATGAGAGTGAAAAAGAGGAAGAAAGGATAAGTATTAGGGATAATAATATAAATAACTTGCAAGAGAGCAGCAAAATAACAAGAATTCTTGATATCTTCTTCAAACGTTTTAGTTACATCATCTTCTATTGCTTTTTGATCAGATGAAATAAGTTCAAAATTACATATTGAAGAATATTTATAGCTATTAAGAAGCTTTAAGTGGATTATTTGAATATCAGGAAAACGATTAATCTGATAGCTAATTTCTTTTCATTATCATTAGTATTATTACTATAATTATTATTAATATCATTATTGTTATAAGCAACAATGTCAATGCAACAAGAGCAACAACAATCCGAAATTCTACCTGGTTGGTCATTTAATTCATCTTAAAACTAATTTCATCCCAAAAAAATTTTGGTTTTATACAACAACTATACTAGGTTAATTACATTTGTTAATCAAAGTATGACTCGTAATGTGCGTATAATATAAACATGTACGCATAATCATGATTTTTTTCTTAACAGTACGTAAATACGAAAAATGCAAATGTACATGTTATGAGGATTGACAGGATTTATATACAGACATATATACACACACACACACGCATGCACACGTTGAATACAGGTATATAGAAAGGGATTCAGGTACATATACGTGACATAAGTGCACATATAGTACAGATATACACGTGTAATTGTGTGTGTGTTTTTTTTTTTTAACATAATACATATATGTACGTAAAATAGAGATATATTCATTGTAAGTAAATATGGATCGATACACATATATTATTATAATTTCTACAACGATACGTATGGATGGATGTTGATGTATCCCAACTGTAACAGAGTGGAATTAAACTGATAACGAAGTGCTAGTGATTAT